CATCGCAGATACATCGGCGCGATCCTTCGACCCAGTCATACCCCATCTATCAGGAGCGGAAGTAACACACATACACAATTTATCGTCGCGTTGATTCCCCAGAAAACATTGGAAAATGTGGGAAGTCGGAGGGAAGACGAAAGTCCAGAAAATATTGAAACTATAGGGGATCCTGATATTTGTGTCTGTTGATTTGCGTGTCTCTGGGCCCCTTCAATCTAGGAAGCCTCTGATCTTAGTGAGCCTGCTGTGGGGTCTGGTCTTCTTCCTGCATCTCCTCCCGGGTGTTCGCCGGCAGCCCGCGGTGGCTGGCGGCCAGCCGTCGCCCGTCACCCGTCTCGGTATTGTTTTGTTGTGCCGTCTTGTTCTGTTGGTGTGGCCCGTCTCGCACTTTCTCAACCCCCCTCTCGCTCCTCTCTATCGCTCTCTCTCTCTCTCTTGCTTTTTGTTTCTCTCTCTCGCTCTCTCTCTCTCTCTCTCTCCTGTTGTTTAGTTTGTCTCTCTCTCTCTCTCTCTCCTTTCTCTCTGCCCCCGACTTCGAAAGGAAAGGGAGAATGAGCGTAGCTCTCTCTCACTCTCTCTCTCTCTTTTTCATTTGTTTGTTTTCCCTCTCTCTCTCTCTCGTTTTTTTTTATATGTCTCTCTATCTGTCCCTTCCTCGATTCATGTCTATGCACATGCATACAGACATTCATTCCTTTCTCTCCATCGCTGTCACGATTTACGCGGAAGACCTGCCATTCTTACAAGTTCATGGAGGCCAGGCGGATCGCCCTGTTCTCTTGGTCCATTCCCATCCGCATTTTGTCACCCATGTTCTATTCGATCTACGTAGCGTATTTACGTGCTTGTATATACTCTCGTTCCTGGCTGCTCTTCCTTCCCCCTCTCCAACACACTGGATGGAGAATGGGCAGGTACGTGCGACGGATTTGCATCCGTAGCGAATGTTGCACGAATTGATCTAACGAACTTGTACTGCAGAAGGTGATTTTATCCAGTTCAAACGCTGCTGATGAACGAGCTATGCGTCATAGGCTGGTTGAGAGGCGTTAGGGCTGGGGGTGAATATATTAACCAATGTGGATTTCTCTGCCTTGCGCATGGTGTTGCACCCATTACGAAGGTATTCAATCGCTCGCTTACTCCGCCGACACGTACTATATCATTATTGGCTTTTGCTTGCCTGCGTGTTCGCGGGGGCAGAGATGTTTGTGAGTGGCGGTTGTGTCCCTGAGCTGTTGGGTGAACCTCGCTTGTGGGAGAAACAGTGGCAGGGACGTGGCAAGGCGACGGTCAGCGGAGCGAGCCCCTCCGAAGTTCTGTCAGTGCATCTTGCCACCTTGCCTGGGTACTGGGTCTGAGGCGTGTTGAATGCCTCGGGAGTTCTCTTGGGATGCCTCTTAGGGAGTCGGGCTTCCTGGAGGCTTCTGCGGCCCCCTGTTGGGGGCTTCTCTGGAGCCTCTTAGGGCCCTTGGCAAGCTGCTTGGAGGTCTGTTGGGGCCTCTTGCGGGCTTCTGGTGGGCTCTCAGATTGTCTTGGGTGTTACTTGGACCGTCTTGTGGCCTCTTGGGGGCGTCTTTGGCCCCTGTTGGGGGCTTATGTGTGCCCTCTTGGGGGTATGCTCGGGATCTGGCGAGCCCATCTTGGAGGATCAGGTAGGTGCCGAAGGCGTTCTGGCTTTCTTCTTCTTATGCCTGTCTTGAGGCCGTTTTGGCGGCCTCTTTGGGCGTCGTGGGGGCCTACCAGGCCGTCTTGGGTCCCTCTTGGGCTGCCTTCGGGCCTACTAGTGGGCTCGTTGGCAGCCTCGGGGCGAAATTGGAGACCTCTTGGGCCGCCTTCAGCGGTTAGAAACCCGACACGGTGAGAATTTTTCAATTTGCCCCGAACTGAAACATAAGCCAATTAATGTTCTCTCTTGGTGCTCTCCAGGTGTGCTTAGAGCCATCTTGGGGCGTATAAGGATCCTCGTGGGCCGTCTTGAGGTCATCGTGGTCGTCTTGAAGCGCTCATTGGGCACCGGCTGTTCTCGAGAGTTGCGCCCAGGGGTGAAACCATCTCTGACCAGGGTTTGGCGGTGGGTACCTGATGTATTTCCTCAAGTGCATGTCGCTAGAGGGTGCTCACTGACAGCGGAGTTCCTGACAGGGGGTACGGGGAGCCCGAGAACGCCTGTAGCGGCACCCGTTTCGCCTGAGACGTCCTCACAATTTAGTCAGCAACTGTGCTCACGCCCCAATGCCCGCTACAGTTTGGGTCCCGACGGCCATGATCCCGCGTAAAAGTACGCCAAGGTGCACATGGCCCTGCTCTCACCCCTGTCTCAGCTGCATCTCTTCTTTCTCAGGGCTTACCTTTGCTGCTATTGGGGTGCCGTGCCAGGGACCACCGAGGCCCGCCCCGCGCGCGCAAGCCAGGAATGCACACGAAGACTCAGAACCTCTTACCAGAGATTCTAGCATGTCTTTGGCCCGTTGGGCTGGCGATTTGTTGGTGGACGTTGTTCTGGTGGCTGCCTGGAAGTGTCCAGGCAGAAGTGGTGCTTCTATTTCCCACCCACTGCACTTGATAGAGCTGTGTGTGTGTGTCCCATCCCTAGTGGCAAGGCGCTGCGTGGAGTGGACTGCTCTCCGCGGCGTGGCGGGGGACCAGAGCCAACCCAAGAGATCCGCGCGGTCCTCCGAAGGTGCTGCTCATGCCGTTTCTCGGTCCTCCATGTGAGCGACGCAACAACGAGGTCGTCTGCGCCGACATTGGAGCGCAAGCTGCCCGCGTAAACTCGCGCGTAACTGCCCTGGTTCTCAATGTTTGTGTGCTGGGCTGGTGGCCCGCGTACGCCACCGCGTGAGGTCGCCGTGCAGTCTCGCGTAAGACCCGTTTTTGATCGGCGTTCTTGCCAGGGTGAGTTTTGGTCGCGTAGGACCCGTTTTGGGAGGGTTGAGTCTTCATCGGCGCCAGTGCATCCGCGGTCGGAGTCCGGCCTAATCTGGCCTGCTCCGGCCGAGTCCCCGATCGCTTAATCCTCGGCGCAAGCCTAGGGGGGTGGAAGGATCGTTCCCCAGGCATGTGGATGTGTGGTGGTTTCGTCGTGCTCATAGATGGCAGGATGCGGGTGGAAGAGGAGAGGAGGCAACGCACGGGGAACACGAGGCAGAAGAGGAGGACGAGGAGGGGGAGGATGAGGAGGCGGAAGGAAGTGACGAGAATGATGAAGAGGAGGAGGGGGAGGAGGGCTGTGGCGGGCGATTGCAAAAGAAGAGGAGGATGAGGAGGAGGAGGAGGAGGCGGAGAAGAAGGGAGTTCGGCCACGTCGGACAGACATAGGGCCGCTAGCATTTGAGCATTTGAGGAGAAGGGAGAAGGAGGGGGGGGATAAAGGAAGGAGGGATCGAGGGAGGAGGGGTGCGGGGAGGCGGGGGAGGGGGAGGGGGCAAGCTAGGTGCGGTCGCGTCATATCTGACATCCTACCCCTCCCTCTCATCCCTTACCATGGCGCAGATCCCCTCTCTACTCGCACAGTCGGATGTCGAGCAGGGCAATGATCCCGAAAGGGTACGCGATGCATTGTAGAGCACGGCACGGCATGGCGTAGAAGAGCACCGCAAAGCGTAGTATCAACCTAGCATTGCATTGCATGCCGTGGCATGGCACGGGAAATGACGCCAGCGCTGCAGCGGGAGCACGAGTCGAAACGAGCGGAAGCGCGGAAATGAGGCCAGCGCTGCAGCGGGAGCACGATTCGGAACGAGCGGAAGCACGGAAATGAGGCCAGCGCTGCAGCGGGAGCACGATTCGGAACGAGCGGGGCCCGAAAATGAGGCCGGCGCCTCAGCGAGAGCAGCATTTTGAAAAAAATGCAGGCGAAAACTCAATTCCAGGGAAACTTTTGTGTAAAAAACAGTACGCGGGGGGGGGGTCGGTCACTCCCAGGCCGTCATCAGGGGAAGAGGGAGAGTAGTATTCATATTGAGTAATTGTAGAGGAAGCTATACGGAGGGGGGAAGGGAGAGAGGGGTGCAGATGAGGACGGGGGGAGGAAGGGGGGGAGCGCGGAAATGCGGACTTCTCCTTTGCGGAACGTTGTCTCGCAGGGCCGCGGGGAGTCCGAAGTCTGGGCCGCGTGGACGCACCAGCTCGCGCAGAGAATTACGAGCTGGGTGAGCGCACCACCAGAAATCAACTTTGGGGCCCCAGCAGAGCAGCGTTCCGCGGTGTGCCCGTCTGTGAGCCAGGTGCACGCACCAACTCGCGCCCGTGGGGGCCCGTGTCCCCGTGAGGGTCGCCACCCCAGCGGGGCGGCTGGGGGCCGAACTGACGGGCCGGGGGGCCGCACCGGACAGATTACGGAGGGGAGGCCGCCGAAGTATGTGATAGTTTCTTATTCCTTGTTTTGCCGATCTGCGCGGGCCCGTCGCACCTCCCTCCCCCACCGAAGGAGCAGATCTTGGTTGTTTTTGGCGCCTGTTTGAGCAGAGGTGGAGCCTCCCCCATAGGACGCACTGTCTAAAACAGTCGCACTAGGCAGAGGCCCTAGCCAGACCCCACCCCGTCCCCCCCCCGTTCCGCCCAATGTTGAAAAAACCGAATAAGAAAACGTTCACTAAGGGCTGGATGAGTGCACCACTCCGCGCGCAAAACCATGCGCCGGGCGGAGGCGCCAAATGAACAGTTCGTTGGGTGACCGCGAGACAGCGGTCCGAAGGCCATGGGGCAGCGTTCTGCGGGCCGCGGGGCGGAGGGCCCTTGACTGAGAGCGGGATGGAGGAGGGGGGGGACGAGGAGCAGGCTGTGGAGGGGCACCGAGAGCTGTTGGACGAGACTGGGGTTGACGGCGCGGAAGCACAGGCCGAAATCATCGCGGCCAGGAAGTCTGCGTTGGCATCAATTACCTTATGCTGTTATCCCGCGTGATCCGTCGGCGCTGCGCTCGCTTTAACCCCACCTCACTGGCAAACCCGATTCGATTGGAATGTGGCCTGCGAGTTGGCGTTGACGGTCACCTTCGAACGAGTAACAGACTGACGTAAATGGGAGACGGCCTCCTTCTTAACAACCATCAGAAGGCACCTTCCGCGCCCGTCCTAAAGCCGGCGGATGTGCTTTCTGATCGGGCTCATCCGTCGTTGCCAGGAGTTACCACATCACATATGCCATTATTTCTTCCGTGTTTCTCTTCAGCTGGTGCTAGGTCGCCTCAAGGGGGTGCGAACATAATCGCGTTTCAGGCGTCGCGACCCAGGCCAGAGCATTTGCCGTTCCCCGGCGGGGGGCGACGCGATGGCGCGCGGGCGCGAAGAGTGTCGCGGGACGCACGGGCGCGCAGCTACAGGTAGCCCGGCGGCTGCTGCTGCGGCCGCCTCCCCTCCAGGGCCGATGGTCTTCAGGACGTGCGTTCGCCCTGCGTGCATTGGCCCAGGTCAGCCCAGCCGATCGCCCTCAGCTTGCGTGGGCCGTCTTTGCGCCGCTTGTACCGTGTTGCAGGGGAAAGAACAATGAAATAAACATACAAATCAGAGGTCCGCGCGGATTTCTCGGATCGGCGCTGGAGACCTTTGGCGGCGCCTCCGGCGCCGCCCTTGGCGCGCTCCGCGCGCCAAGGAGGTCTGTTTATGCCTTGGCTTGTTTCCCTATGTTGGCGGGCTGCCGGGGACAAGCCAACGTTCGCGCCAGCACGCGTTCTGAGGGCCCCCGTCAGGACGCCGTGGGCCCGCCGGGGGCCGTGCCGGGCGCGGGCGGCGACGAGGCCGCGGGCCGCGAGCGGGCGGCGGCCCGCGCTCGCCATCGCCCCACCGCGGAGAGCTGGACGCACGACGACGCGCGCTGGAGGCGGGCGCGCCGCGGGGGGGTTGGAGGAGGCAAGGGCGAGTCCAGGCTCCCGACGAACTCGGAGAGGTGAGGGCAGGGCGGTGCTGGTGATGTATCAGTGTTCTACCACCGCTGCCATGGGTAGGACGGGGGAGAAGGGAGGATTGGGAGGTCCTCCTCCTCCTCCTCCTCCTCCTCCTCCTCCTCCTCCTCCTACCGAAGGTGGTGGTGGTGGTGGGAAATCGGCCCATCAGCTGGCAGTTTTGTCAAACGGGGGGCGAGTCGAGACCATGGCAGCTGGCCTTCGAGGGGCCCCCTCGTCGCCGCGGCTAGGCGCAGCTCGGAAGCTAGGTGCGTCTGGACCCCAGGAGGGATCCCTGGGGTTTGTTTCGCTTCTGCTGGCCACAGTCCTTGCTCTTGCCCACGCTCTCACCTCTTCGCCTGTCCTGGGAGATCGGTTCCCCGAGCGGTGGAATTCGCCTTGGGTGGTCTGTGGATCTTGTGGAGGTATAAGTGTTATGCGCTAGTTGTCGGGAACCGTTGTGGGATGTGGCTCCACCCCTGGGCTGGACAACGCGTGTCCCGTTGTTGCATGACTGGATGCGGTGGTACGCCTCACCATTCGAGCAGGGGATCGATTACATAATTCAACTACCCCCCAAAGTGTTGTTGGCTTCGGATCTACGGAAATACTTGCAATGTTCGTAGATCCACGGATCGTTCGATGAATTTTCCATAGGCACTACAGGGAATGAATGCACCCCCCACTCATAATCTTTTTAGGGCTATAGGGTTATAGTGCTATAGGGTTATAGGATAGGCGATAGGACTGTAAGGCTATAGGGCTATAGGGCTGTAGGGATCGAAGGCTATAATGCTATATGGCTAAAAGGGCTATCGGGCCACAGGGCTATGAGGGCTATAGGGCTATAGAGCTGTAGGGCTACAGGGCTATAAGGCTATAAGGCTATAGGGCCATAGGGCTATAGGGCTACTGGGCACCTTGGCACCCCCGGGCACCCCCGGGCACCTCCTGGCACCCCTGGGCACCTCCGGGCACCCGGGCACCCCCAGGCACTCCCGGGCACCCGGGCTCCGGGGCCGGCCACCGGAATCGGCGGCGAACCTCACCTAACCATGTGAATCCGCCAGGACCCCTACAGAGGCAAGCTCTGATTGGGGAGTACGCATGCGATATTCGACTCGAACCATGAGGAGGCGTTCATCGCCCATGTGTCGCCCAAGGAGGGGCACCGACCTCGCAGATTGGTGTTGCCTCGGGGGCGGGAGTTGGTCGAACTCGCCAGCAGTCGTGGCCCTCTGGGTGCAGTGCCTGGCGCTCCTCTCTGGGGTTTGGATCTCTTCGTGCCCTGCCGCAGGATTCCTACTGATGGGTCGCTTTTCCACCACCACTACCATATGTAGGGTGGGGGGGCGGGGAGGATAGGGAGGGCCTCATCTCCTCCTCCTCCTCCTCCTCCTCCTCCTCCTCCTCCTCCTCCTCCTCCTCCCTCTCCTACCTATGGTAGTAGTGGTGGAAAATCGGCCCATCAAATTCCCTTGGGCGGAATGCGGCCTAATGCCGCTTGATCCCGCCTGCTCTGGCTGGCTCTGTCTCCTATGTGTTGTGGCCCATTCCTTCTGGGCAGCCATTTGAGTTGTGCTTAGCACCGCTGTCGTCGAAGTAAACGCCCGCCAGTAGAGGTGCCGTGAATACCCACCCGGGACCCTGTATCTCACCGCCCACCAAACCACCTCAACCTAACCCGAAGGTCCCGGTTTGCCATCCATTTCCAGTGGGGGGGGTCGGGGAACATTGAAAAACACGTGTGGAACCCGTACCCCCCCAACTCGAAGTTCGGGTCTTCGGGTTAGGTCGGGGGTGGCATGGCAGGCTACTCGTCAGTATTTCAGTGTTGGCGGACGACCGCGCCGGAAGGGAGTGCGGCGTGCTGCGAGGTAGTTGCGGGGGGCTGTTGCTTGCGCGTCCACCTCGAAATGCGGGGCGAGGGGGGGCGCGCGTTGACGCAGTGCTATCTGGACCTGAGGCGGGCGTTTCTTTCGCAAACGGCGGCAGTTCTGGACCGTTCGCAGGAAGACTTCCCAGGACACGGGGCCCAAAAAGCATCCACCACCACCTCCACCACCTGCCTCGGCCCCCCCCCCTCCCTGTCCCGGGCAAGAGGAGAGGAAGGGGAGCTAGAGGAGGGAGGAGGAATGGAGATGGTGGTGGTGTACACTCCTGAGGGCCCGCACAGGCGTCGCAGCCCAGCGTGCCTCCGTCGCCCCTGCTCCTCCCCGCGCCACACCGCCTCGGCGCGCGCCTGCTCTCGTCATTTTTTATGGCCCCGGCTGACCGAGGCAGCCGCTGCAAGGCCCCTTCCGGCCGGCGCCGCGGGCTTCGCACACCGCGGTCCTGGAGTCGCCGGCGAGGGAGGTGAGCGTTTTCGTGTTCCTTCCCAGGGCAGCGCTCGTTACCCAGACTCCTCTCTCGCGCTGTGAGAAAGACACGGCGGGAGGTTCTTCCCCACGTTCGGCCTTTGGGGGCCCTCACCGGGCCTTGGGGCTGTCAGAACACGAGCCAGGAAGCAAAACCGGTCCGGGGGAATGGGTCGAGATCTTTGGTTGTCGACGCTATGAACATATCATGACGTCGGGGACCTGGGCACCCAGGTCAAACCCATTTTCCCCCTCCCCCGGGTAACACTAACGATCGTATTGGCTGGGGTGGTCTTGACCCCCCCTACACGTCGTGGTGCACACAGGCGGTTGATGCCCGGTGGCGCGGACGTACCCTGGCGGGTGCATGCCGGGGCCGCCGTTGCCGTTGGTTAACTTCCCGCCCGAACCCTCCCCCCCTCCCCCTGGTATCGACCGTTACAGTGGAGGCCCATGCCAAGAAACACCCTGCTTTGCTTGCCTCCAGGGTGCCCTGGGTTTCTTGGGTTTCCATGGTTTTGCGATGGAAAACGTGACGTCCCCACACCAAAAATCAATGGACGTCCTAGGATCTCAGGGTTGCGTTTCTTGCGGAAGGTTTCTTGTGGACAGGCCTCCACTGTTCCCGGGAAGGAAAATAAACGCTCACGAGGGGGAAGATGCCTGCGTCCTCGTGTTCGGCGGGCTCGGCGAAGGACTGGCGCCCGCGCGTGCCCGCCTCTCAGAGGAGGAGGCTCCCGTCGGGACACCGGTGCCCCTGCCTGGGCGCTGGCCTCCTTCCAGGTTGGCCAGACGAAGAGGGTGGTGTATACAGTGGGGGCCCACGCCAGGGAACACCCTGCTTGCCTTCAGGGTGCCCTGGGTTTCTTGGGCTTCGATGGTTTTGCTGCGGAGGGCGCGCCGTTCCCACACCCAGAGTCCACGGACGTCCTGTGGTCTCAGGGTCGGTTTTCCTGTGGAAGGTTTCTGGTGGTCGAGCCCCTCCTGTAAGATGATTTGTTCCGCCGTCGGGGGCGCTGGTCCCCAGGGCGGCTCCGAAGTTTGTACCCCTCCGGGGGCACGTCAGGGTATAGGCTTTGCAGCCGCCCTGGGCAAGGCGTCCCCGATGGCGGAAGAGTGCGCAGTATGCTGTTCTTCGATGGGGCTCTCGACGCCACGGCTGGATGCGCATCGGAGTCCTGGTCAGGACTCGCCCCCGGTGGAAGTCCAGGGAGCACCGGGCTCTTCTCGGGGGTCCTCTCGAAGCCTGTGGCGTCTTCGGAGCTACTTAGGGGCCACTGGAGCCGTGGTGGACTGACCTGGTGGCGACCGGGGCCCTCTTGGAAGCTCTCTCTAGGAACCATCGTGGGCTGGGATGCCGATGTGAGATATATTTTGCTGATGAGCGCTTCTGCGGAGACGGTGGGATGGGCCGAGGGCACCTCCGAGCCGGTTGGAAGAGCAACAATTCCTCGACCCGGACATTCCCATATGTGCATCTCATTTCTGGCACTTCCCTTTTGCGAGGGTCTGAGCTGGAGTGGCCCTGAGCGTGAGTACGACTGCGCGCGCGTGCGTCCGAGCGTGAGCGGCCCTCTCTACCATCACTTGCTGTTCTGCGTCGCCCAGCGACGCTCGCAACAGCACGACAGCTGAGGGGTCCCGGCCCCGAAACCGGCGCCTCGCTCGAGACGTCCCCACCATTTGGCCGTGAGCCTGCCTCTGCACCACCGCCTGGCGGCTCCCCCTTGGGGCGCGAAAACAAGCGCCTCGCCCCCGGGGCAAGGAGGCAGAGAAGAAGGGATCGGCGAGGGAGGACGACGGGACAGACGCGAGATTCCGCGCCCTCTGGAGCAGTCCGTCCCCGTGCCGCCCAGGTCTAGGTCTAGCACGCCACTGGTCCGTCGGGCCATCGAGTGCCCGTCGTGCGGTTGCTTGGCGACCTGTGCGATTTGGGGCGACTTGTGCGATCTGTGCGACCTGTGTCCACTTCGTCTGCCCTTGCAGCCTGGGCCCTTGCCTCTTCCGCCGCTGGTGGCATCGGCATCGTCATGTCCAGACTCGGTCGCCATGGGTCAGGCAGGACCGAGGTGAAGACGAATTGCTCTACGGCGTTCTAGGACGCTCTCCAAGCGCTCTGGAGCTCTGGAACCGCCGCGGCGTCCGACATAATCATCTTCCAGGTTTTGTCGCAGAGATACCTTGTTCATCTTAAGCCCAATGCTGTTTTCATCCTGCTCTGGGCGTCACCCCAACAAACTCATACTATGTGTGCTGCGCCCCACAGGGGCGACGCGCGCACCGAGAAGTCCTACAGTATATGCGCCGTGGTGGGCGCCTTCTGGCCGTACCGCTCGGGAAACCATTACATACACATATTTGTGTATGTGTATATATATATGTATATATATATATATATATATATATATGTGTATATGCTAAAATGCACAGAGCTGTTCCCAACCATCCTGTGGTGTTGGGTCCTCGTTTTGACGAGACGGTCCCCGCGTTCCTCTCCTCTCATCTCCTCTTCTCCTCCTCCCCCTCCTCCCTCCTTCCCTTTCTCGCTTATGCCCTCCGCATGTCTTTGTTTTGGCACGCCCCTCACACGTTTCGTGGCCTTACAGGGAGCCCCATCGAAGGACCAGGCGTCCGCGTTCGCATGCGCCCACCGCATACATTTTGGCACACCCCTCATACGCTTCGCGGCCCGGTAGGGAGCCCCACCGAAAACCCACATGCCAGCGGTCGCATGCGCCCACCGCGCCCACTTTGGCACTCCCCGCACACGCTTCGTTGCCCCGTATGGGAGCCCCTACCGAAGGCCAAAGTGTCAGCGTTCGCATGCGCCTACCGCATCCATTTTGGCACGCCCCTCACACGTTTCGTAGCGCCACAAAGAGCCCGCCCGAACGCCCACATGCCAGCGTTCGCATGCGCCAGACACACCACTTTTAGCACACCCCACACGTACCGTGGCCCCGTAGGGGGCCCCATCGAATGCCCAAATGCCAACGTTTGCATGCGCCCAACGCGCCCATTTTGACACACCCCTCACACGTTTCGTGGCGCCATAGGGAGCCCCACGGAAGGCCCAAATGCCAGCGTTCGCATGCGCCCACCGCACCCATTTTGGCACGACCGTCACACGTCTCGTGGCCTCACAGGGAGCCCTACCGAACGCCTCAATGCCCGCGTTCGCATGCGTCCACCCCACCCATTTGGGCGCGCCCCTCACCTGTTTCGTTGCCATGGGAGCCCCACCGACAGCCCAAATGCCTGTTCTTTCATGCGCCCACCACATCTATTTGATCCATGGGTGTCCTGAGGTCTCAGGGTTGGGTTTCTGGTGGAAGGTTTCTTGTGGTCGGGCCCCTACTGTACGCAGCAGTCGTGAGCACCGTCGTTGTACGCACCGCATTCGGAGGAGCTCCCTGTAGGGCCACGAAGCGTGCGAGGGGTGTGCCAAGATTTGTGCGGCTGGCGCAGGCGAAAGCAGCCACTGGGGCCGTGGGCTGAATTCCCTAGGGAGCCACGAAGCGTGAGGGGTGTGTCGAAACAGGTGCGATGGGGTGTATGCGAACGCAGCCACTGGGGCCGTCGGTGGAGCTCCCTATGGGGACGCAGAGCGTGTGAGGGATGCATCGACATAGGTGCGGTGGGCGCTTGCGAACGAAGCCACTGGAGCCTTCGCTGACGCTCCATATGGGGCCACTAAACGTGCGAGGGGTGTGCCGAGATGGGTGCGGTCGGCGCATGCGAACGCATCCACTGGAGCCTGCGCTCGAGCTCCATATGGGGCCACGAAACGAGTGCGGGGTGTGCCGAGATAGTGCGGTCGGCGCATGCGAACGCAGCCACTGGGGCCGTCGCTGGTGTTCCGTGTAAGGCCGCGGAACGTAGAGGGGTGTGCCGAGATGGGTGCGGTGAGCGCACGCGAACGCAGCCACCAGGGCCGTCGGTGAGGCTCCCTATAGGGCCACGGAACGCGCGAGCGGTGTGCCAAAATGGGTGTGGAGGGCACATGCGAACGCAGCCAGTGGCGCTTCCAGTGGGGCGCCCCATGGGGCCATGAACGGTGCGCGGGGTGTGCCAAAATGGGCGCGGTGGACGCATGCGAACGTTGGCATTGGGGCCTCCGGTGGGGCTCCCTATGGCGCCATGAAGCGTGTGCGGGGCGTGCCGAAAAGTGGATCAGGTGGGCGCATGCGAACGCAGCCATTGATGCGCCGGTGGAGCTCCCTGTGGGCCACGAAGCGTGTGAGGGGTGTGCCGAAATAGGCGCGGCTGGCGCATGCGAGCGCTTCCACTTGGTCCGTCGGTGGAGCTCCCTATGGGGCCGCGGAACGTGTGACGGTGTGCCAAACTGGGTGCGTTGGGCGCGCGCGAACAAAGCCAGTGTGGCCGTCGGTGGAGCTTTTTGTGGGGCCGCGACACCTGTGAGGGGTGCACCGAAATAGGTGAAGTGGGCGCTTGCGAACGAAGCCACTGGAGCCTTCGCTGACGCTCCATATGGGGCCACTAAACGTGTGCGGGGTGTGCCGAAATGAAATGGGTGCGGTCGGAGCATGCGAACGCAGACGCTGGGGCCGTCGGTCGAGGTGCCTGTGTGGCCACGACGCGTGTGCGGGGTGTGCCGAAATGAGTGCGGTGGGCGCACGCGAACGCAGCCACTGGGGCCGTCGGTGGAGCTGCCAATGGGGCCACGAAGCGTGCGAGGGGTGTGCCGAAACGGGTGCGGTGGGCGCATGCGAACGCAGCCATCAGGGCCGTCGGTGGGGCTCCCTATGGGGCCACGGAACGTGCGAGCAGTGTACCGAAATGGGTGCGGTTGGCGCACGCGAGCGCAGCCACCAGGGCCGTCGGTGGGGCCCCCATGTGACCGCACGGAACGTGTGAGGGGTGTGCCAACATGGGTGCGGTGGGCGCATGCGAGCGTTGGCACCTGGGCCTTTGGTGGAGCTCCCTACGGGGCCACGAGTGTGAGAGTTGTGCCAAAGTGGGGGTTGGAGGGGAGGATGGGGGAGCAGGAGGAGGGGAAGGAGGAAAGAGGAGTGAGACGCGGGGCGCCGTCTCGTCAAACCGAAGTCCCAACACCACAAGATGGTTGGGAAACGTATCGTTTGAAAGCCAGCATGTTTGTTTTTGTGCCCCCCCCGGGACACACACCACACGCACACGCACGCACACACTCACACCACCACGCCCACCACTCGTGGGAAGTTGGGTGCGCGGGGGAGGGGGGGCGTTGATGCAGATGCCGCCGCGCGCTACAACATTGCATTTGCTTTGAATTGCGGTCGCCTTGCAACAGTCGCCCGCAGTCGCATTGCGTTGAAGTCGGATTGCGCTGCGTTGCAATCGCACTACACTGCATTGCAATCCAATTGCGCTGCAATCGCATTCCGTTGCAATCGCACCCCACTGCGTTGCGAGCCGGTTTGCGTTGCAATCGCATTGCGTTGCATTGCAGACGCATTGCGTTGCGATCGTATCGCATTGCATTGCGATCGCAGTCTCCCTCCTCCCCCCATCGTGGTCCCCAGGCCCAGGAGGGAGAACCAACCTCCCCTCCCCGTGCTGCAGTCGTATCACTGCAGGAAGATTGTTGTACGATTGTAGTCGTGGCACTGTACAAGCAGTGTTTTTTGTGCAGAACGCGTCGGGGTAGTATTCCCTGATTGCTCGCAGAAAGAGTATTAAAGTACGGTGGTTGACATACTCTAATACC